GAATTTTCTCAGTTATCTATTTTATTTTACTTGAGTTTCAAATGAGTCAATATTATATACTTGGCATGAACATTTGAGCTAGAAGTTGTACAACTTCATGTATTATCCCAATCAAGTGATTGATAACTAGGTTAAGAATTGAGCTAATGAGTGAGAATATCTTTAGCAAAGATAAGCCATTTATATTGAACACGATATTCAAGGTTTTTCCAAGAAAAATACATCTAGTTTAATGTCAGCAGCAGTATCGATACTAACGTACTGTTTGTAAATGTATCATTTGATTATTTACAGTTTTGTTTAACAGTCGCAATTCTTAATTCAATGATTGAATTAAGAAAAATAGAATTTCTTGTTTTCATAAACTAGTATAGATAGAAATATTCGTATTGAGGATGAGCTAAAGTAGAGATACAAAATATCTCTTTGTTATTATCGATCTATTTCGAAAATATTTTCAAATAATAATGTTTACCATCAAAGATATTTTCCTTTGTTACATCTAGATAAAATATTCATAGAAAAAATTTAATTACAATGAAAGAAATCGAATTAATCAAATGACAAATAATGAGAAGAACTATGAAAACTTATAGAAGTAAAATTATTCACTAGTTGAAATATTGAAGATTTCAAAACAAGAAAAACATCATCTTCAAATGCAGTTATCTTATGTTGTTTGTCATGATACATGTACATACGTTGATGACTATAATAAATCATACATATCAACTGAGTTTAGTAGTGTAAAGCTTTTTCACATAGAGATTGTTTACGTTTTTTTTTAATAATTGTAGTCAATTTGATGAATATCGATAAAAACTTGGATATTTATTATTTCTCTAGATTTAGATAAAGTATTTATTACTTCAGATATTACTGGCAAATTATGAATTTATTATCAACAATAATAACTCAAATATATGTATAATAGCTTTTATGAATTTCTAGAATCTCGTTTCACTTTCTGATGATAGTAATCAAAGTTTTGAAGATATATAAAATAATTGCAATATATGATGCAATTCCAACAAAGAAGTTCAGTCATGTAGTCAGAACATACAACTAGTGTTACACTTTTCTATTCACTAAAATATCTCATCAAGCTACCAACGCAACTAAATCCTAACGAGATGCATCAAACATCATCAAACCTTTTTCAAAATTCTCAACTACCGGCTTTTGTAACGGTGCCGAGGATCTTGACACACGGATCTTCATACATTCTGAGATCACTTCTTCAAGTGAAAATGCCAGGCAATTCCTTACTTCGATTGCCTCCATTAGGTTCCATATCTCCATTATCAACTATATTCTCTCAACAAACAAGCTAGTCTGTGATCATTTTTTATGCATGGTTGTGGTCAACAAGTGAATTGAAAATAAAGTTCATTATAACAAGTTTCGTTTGTAATTTTTATTATATAGAATCATTTTGTAAAAACATATTTTTATTATACTTTCTCTTTGTAAACATAATTCCATAATTATATGTTTTTACTATAGAACAATAATATATATATATAAATCAAGAGAAAACTTCTGAACTGTCCGATATACTCATAATAAGATTTTTTTCAATAGAAATGAATGTCATTATTGTTGATGCTAATTACATATCAATAAAAAATAGAAGATACATTTTATTCTCGTTCAATTCTTTCTTCTAAAATTAATTATTATTTACTAAACCATAGATGTATTTTCCTCTTTTCTAACGAAGGAAATTGTCTAAACGATCTTCACGTGTATACATAACGTGAGGTAATACAGGACAAAAATAATCGATCTATGTAGTATAATCTGTAAACAAAGTAGCATTTCTCACAACGTCATATGGCAAATATGCTTATCCTTCAATATCAGCGAGTAGAAAAGGGAAATGAGTACATATTCATCGACAGGTTATTCCATAAAAATCTTTCTTCTGTTTTCCGTCTATGTCATATTTATTGCGACTAATATACATCTATATATATACTGCATACTCGTAAGTATTGAAGCAGATTCTTGTTTTTTAGCTTTCTAACTATTATCTTATAAAAAAATGTCAAGCAACCAAGGTGGTCTCTCATCGAATCAAGCAGGACAAACTACAGGTCCTCGTAGGTAATGTAAAATATTTTTCAGATTTTCATCTATGAAATTAAATTAATCGACAATTGTTTAGTGGTGGTGCAGGGGGAAATGATCAAGCAATAAGTGGATCAAGTACCGGTTCAAATGCTCCAGGACAAAGTAAAGGTGATCCTGGTGCAGGTGCTGGTAGTGGCTCATCTGGTCCTGGTGGAAGTGGTACAAATGTTTCAAGCAATCAAAGCCAAAAGCGCTAATCATATGTAGATGATCCTTGTTTAATGTTATGATTAATTCTAGCAGTTTGCATGTGTTTATCCCTTCAATAATATGTATTATCTAGTCTTGCAATGAATTATAACAAAAATATGATATTACATTAAGACAATAAAATTTAATATATAATGAAATCGATATTTTTCTTTGCATCTTACTCATATCTTTCGGTATCTGTTAAAATTGTTTGTATAGATATCAAACATATTATTATTATTATTTGAAACTTCTTCGCACCTGGCAATCACATTTCTTATCTCAATTACGACAGTGAAAGACAAACTACTGAGCGTATAACAAAAATAATGAGAGTAGAACTATAACACCTCATAGAAGATTTGAGGAAATCATCTATACATCGAACAAATAACCTATAATAAATGGCTGCACTTTGCATCTTATATTTATATCTCTAAATATGTTTTAATAACAAAAAAAAAAAAAGAATGTACCACAAGACGTAACGTGACAAGCTCTAAATAATGTTCCATAAGTATCGGTTCCATTTTTATTTTTTTAAAAATCTCTACCATATTTAAAGATAAATGCATATTGAAGATATATTTTTGAAGAGTAACATCTAAGCTATCATTCACTCACTATGAGTCACTTTTGTTGTTCTGTTCTTGTTGTACACTATTCAAAATGAGGGAAAATTTATTTTCGCATACATATTGGCGACAACAGCATTGTAATGTCATATTCAAACTAGAGAAACAGAAGTTTAGAGAATATATGTTTAATCAATATGTGTCACAATGAATTACACACGTGGAAGATTCATACAAGAAAAGTGTATATTAAAAATTTCTTTCGCATGATTAGGATGTTGTAAAAATAGAATGACAACAGTTTCTTGTAGTGAGTGAGCAATTGGCTGTTATTTTTAAACTATAATTATCAAGACTTCGCGTAGGATGGGACAATCCCATTCCATATGAGACAGCTCGCAATGGCTCATCTCATGGGATGATTTTTTTCGTCCCCATCCCATCTCACACGGAGTCCGGATAATTATATTCTTATCTTAATATATAACGATGAGATTAATACATTTTGTAATACTTTGACATTTTCCGACGCCGACTTCCATATTACAATGTCTTCTGTATTTAAAAATATTGATATAAAAGGTAAAAAAAAAAATTGGTTGATAAAAGTTTTTCAATATTCTTATTAGTGCAGTACTTTCTTAGGGTTGATGCAAATTGAGTATAATTTTTCTTGGATAATAACTTAGACAATACTCTTCAAAAAATATATCGTCCATGTCTATCCATCTTTACATATAGTACAGATTAAGAATAAAATAAAAATAGGGCCGATACTTATGGAATACTCTTTATATAACCTGAAACTAGAGCTTCTAATTTATCGATTTATAAGAAAAGTTTTCGTTGTGAAAAAACCATTATTCGTTTTCCGAAAAGACGTCTTTAGCAAATTTCTTCTATACCTACAACGTATACTTGGTTAGCGTAAAGCTTCGCAAATGCTTCTTGACTGAGATACCGATTTTCTAAAAAATCTTGGTTTTGAAAGATTTTTTTCAGTTTATTTATCATAAAATTGTCTACTGTGTAATCCGTGTTGTGAAGTATAAACTTTAATGTAGAAATGAAAATTTTTCTTAATCATCTAAATCAAGAGATGAACAGCTTTGATCAAAAATTTTTATAGTATCATATGAATTGAAAAAAATAATAAAATATTATAGAACACTCTTTGGACCATCAGTCTGGCATGTGAACAGTCATTTGGGAAAAAGGAGAATTCAGGAGGATTTTCGGAAAAGTTTTTTGGAGGATAGCTTTCTAAAAAGAAGAAAAAAAGGAGGATATTACTTTTGCTGTAGAAACAATATTTTCGTATTACAAATGCATTGAGGGATTTGAATGGAACGAAACAAGAACGTCATCTAGAGTTTCAAAGGCTGATAGTTCTCAACAGAAGTCGATGCAAAAGAGTTCTGCCCATTGAGGACACACGCATCCTAATCATATAGTCACATTGATAACGACAAAACTCACTTTCGAAATGAATAATATTCACTTGTTGCGACCCTTTTATTCGATAGATATACGAGTATAAAAATCAAGTTCATGTAATGACCTTGAATTTTTTTTACAGTTAATCCATCAAAAAATCTAGCCCAGCTCCATGTTAAAAGCTATTTAAATTAGCGGTTTCCAAATAAATGTTTGCTTTAGATTTTGAATACATGTAAAAAAAAAAAAGTCTTTTTTTCATAACATCCAATGCAAACTTTTCAATCAGAAAGAGATGGCGTTAAATAATTAGTAATGCTTTGTTAAAAAATTAAACTACAACTTCTTTCCAATTGTTACTTGGAACAAATAGAAAATAGAAAATTAAACTATGGTTTTATGAAAAGACGCAACTACCTCGTGTAAATAGTACTATCTCATTAAAACCAATTGATGCGTTTTATCAACAAAATGTTGAAATCTGTTACATTATATAATAGGGCATTTGCCACAGAATTTTATGAAATGTCGAAGAAAATTTAACAAAAAGACTAGAGAATTTAAATGACGTTTGAATTGTAGAAGCCATTTTTCATGTTATCGAACGGAATATTTCAGAAACATGTGCGTATACTTTTGTAAGCGCGATTATTACTGCTATAAGTATATTAGAAATGTTTATGTTTGATACTATTCGTCCCTCACAATAAATGCTGTTATTTTCAGCTACTATCGATGGAACATCACTTCTCTCTCTACTAATCTCTTTCGCGAAATATTCCTTTGTCAATAACTATATCAAAGCATACCATAGTATCACATTCATCTATTGAAAGAAATATTTGCGTAAGGCAATGTACAATCATATGAAACATCATAATATACACAAGATTCTTATGTAATGCAAAGACAAGAATGAGATTTTCAAAAAAAACATTTTCTAGTGAATTATTTTGCTTGCTCAAAGCACATTCCGTATTCTACCTGGAGTAGCAACCGTAGAGACAGACAGTTGTATCAGACAATTCGCAAAATTGTACCAAAACCACCGTTCTAGCTGCTAAATTTCGTGGCAAAAAAGGAAAAGTAGGAGATAATCATAAAAAGGAGAAGGAGGAGACATTTTGAAAAAAAAAAGAGGAAAAGGAGGAGCATTCACAACCCAGACATACATACATATGTAAATATACGTAATCTTTTTAAGTTTCTGCCAGTTATTGCATGATGATGACACTTTATATTGTCGAAAATTGGAAATAAAGACTGATATTCGTTAAAATTAAAGTATATTTTTTGTTGTAGTACTATAATCAATCATTTCAAATATCGTCTGAATCATAGCATCGTAAAAACGCTTTGTTTAAAATATTGAAAATACTCATTCACAAGCTTAATTAATAAAAAGGAGGAAAAAGAGGATTCCGATGCCAAAAGGAGAAGGAGGACATGTTTTGGGAAATAGGAGGAAAAGGAGGAGGTTTCACATGCCAGCCATCAGTATATATAAGAGGCAATTACCTCGAGTCTGCTATAAGGTATTATAGTGCAACAGTTACTAATTTTGGTATATGCTTGAAGTATTTGACATCTGACAGTTCATCTAGACATAAGTCTGAAATTTAGATGAACATTACCTCAGCTATGTATTTCGGAAGTAACCAGTATTTAGTAAAGACGAGAGCGAAATTGAAAATTTGTAACACAAAAAAGAAAAATCAAACATTCATTGATATTAAGCGACCTCTAAGAATAATCAATAATACATCGATACATAGCAACGATTTATATTCGACTTTTTTTTTCTTCTTCAGTATAGAAATCTTCTTGTTACTCAAAAATTTAAACACATTTATTGAATCTGAATTGAAAATTCACATGGTAGATGGCGTAACCCTTTTTTAAATTCTTAATATTTTGTTTTTTCTCTAAATTATATCTGATAATTTTTCAATGATAAAGAAAAATATAAATGTAAACTTTATAGACAGATGCTTGGATTGGTAGATCGCATATAAGTACATTGACAATAAAAAATGAAATGTGAGTAACGGAACTCACGGAGCAGAACGGTTGATTAATACAATATAATAGGTATACATGCAAATTATATTGATTTAAGTGAATCATTCTTTATTCTTTAAGCCTATCAATATCCTTCTATTTATTTAATTCGTGCATTTTCAATAGAAAACCTACATAATAATAAAGGAGAAAAAGCTCAATTTTAATCCATGTTGAAGTATAAGATGTAGTGTATACGTGTGTCTTTTCGTTCGTACAATTAAAACAATACTCGGTTGATTGAGTTTGTACTTTGACCAATGTAATTTTTTCTTGTTCTTCCGATATTTATTCGTTTTTTTTCTTAATAAATCGAGAAATATTGGATTGCTAGTTTAATCACACCCATGAGTATTCACATATAAATTGATTGAATGACATAAAATAACTCTTAATCGTAAAGTAATTTGTTTCGTAGTAGACATCACATATTGTTACTCATTCTTGTTTGAGATTTAATCAAGGAAATTTTCATACATAAAAAAAAAATTTTTATTTTAGATCCGACCAACTTTTATTAATCACAATGATGTAATTAATTTAATTACTCATAGATTCTTCAATTTTCTCCTCAATAATGTACCCATTAGAATTTGTTTTCCTCATTTCGTTATTCTTATTATTAATTGAAACAACGAAATCAACTTCCAATTCTCCGAAAACGATTGTTATTCAAATTAAAGGTGATTGCAAAAATCTTGGTGATAAAATTGCTCAAGAACATGGATATCGTTATGTTCGACAGGTTTTTTCTTTTATCATTCAATTTAACAAAAAAAACCAAACAAACATAATAAATTATATTCGTTTAGATTTTTGATTGTTTTTGTGAATTAGAAGAAGATCCATTGTCTGAAAATCATATACGACATCGACGAGCTATTGAAAATGATATTGATCCAGCTAAAATTCTTCTTGAACATGAACATGTA